CATCGTCCATGTCCCTTTCACAAGCTTCGGGTTCTAGGAAGTACGTCATCTTGTCAGCAAGCAAGTTCTCCTGGTGCTCGCTGAGCAGGTGGCAGTGCTGGTTTGTCATTTTCACGAGTATTTGGACACAACAATTGGTTATTGACAAGAGTAACTTGGACTTGGTGACCATTATGGGTCGCTTGGATTTGTTGCATACCTCCGTCAATTGGCACATAATAATGCAGGTGTTCAGGTCCACAACGGTGGCATCGAGCTGCATCGCACATTGCCGCCGTAGTCCGTCATCTTCCAACTGTAAGGATCACAATGCGTTTGGCTCAAAGTAAAGAGGAACAACATGTATGCAATGCGGATGTGACAAGCGCCTCTGTGCTCATGCAAATGTTGCAGTTGGGTGGACAGTGGGAATCACCCCCCAGTGAGGAAAGAATTATGGGTTGAATAAAATGTGTTCTTGTGAAACTGTATGCAAATCATTGCAATAATCAAATGCAGTATCCAAACTTGCGTCACATCAGCCATTTCTGTTGTGTTGTTCTGCAATTGCAAGTTCACTACTGTAAATGCGAACGCATTATGCAGTGCTTCCATGCAAATGGCACAATAGGGTGACTTCTGCATGCGTACTCATGTGGTCCATCTCCATACGCAATAGATACTTCCGTCGGCGTTCATCCTCATTGTCATACGGACAGGGGGATATGCTCCTTCCTCTTTTGCCAGCTCTAAGTTTCGCGAGCACATCTGCACTGTGCTGCACAGCAAATTGCTCTCTGTCATACTCCTCCTTTCTCTTGGGCAGCTCGCTGGCATCCCTTTCCAAGTAGTGCTTGATTGTCTTCCAGTCCTCCAGCTTTGATTCCCAGTCGTTAGCAGTCAAATGATGAAAATGGCACTCGGGCGCCCCGTCCTTCCACAAGAGGTCACCTTCGCACAATTGGATGCATTTTCAAAATGTTGCAGTAGCACTTCTGCTAGCGGCGTGTGCATATGATGCATTGCACCAATGCGCTATTTGTCATGTGTGCACTATGGGGCGACCACGCAGTTCAGCTACTCAGTGCAGTGCATGTTGTCACGTAAGTGGAAGCGCTGCGAAATGTACCACGTTATTATGCGTTTTGTACTATTCATTTTTCCTGGACAACTAGTACAAAATTGGCTGTGTGGATGCTGCCCGCATGCAGCGCATTGCAGCAGAGAAGCAGGTAAAGCAATGCTAATCAAGCAATCAAGTATGTGTTCCACCAGGGAGGGACCACAATTGTGTAATGCCTTGAGAACCTCACTTACGGGATGTCTTGTAGCCTCCCTCTCAGTAATTGAAGCCAAATCTGTATAGGATGCCGTCTGTCGCACATGTGGGGGTCCCAAACAGGGACATGATGTATGGGGGCTGAATGGCCCCTACAATGGCCACGTACGTTGTTGGCACGTCGATCTCCCCAGCCGTCTTCTTCCATTTCTCCTGCTGAGAATTCGTTTTCTTGGGGAACGGTCCGCACCCGCTGAGCTACAAAAGATGGAAAATGCGGAGTTCTGTACAGGCGTTGGAGGGCAAATGATTTGAGGACACGTGGCCACAGCGGACGCCACCAGCAGGAAGGAAATCGCCCCACTCACCGCCAACAGCATACTGCGGTCCGCCGCCCCCAACGCGCCATTCGTGATGGTGTTTTCCAACCACCCATTGATCTCATCCCTCATGATTATTACAGTGTGGTCCCTGGTCCGGACGTCGTCTTTGTATTCCAAATGCAACGCGTGAAGGTTATCCTGAAGTGGCAATGGAAAACATCATGGCAGGAGCAAAATATTGCAAAATCCTGCAAGCACGCTAAAGGCAAACATGTTGGTGGGCAATGCCTTCGACAACCGTGCAACTGCCCTGCCTATACGAGCAGGTAACAATTTGGAAAGATGAACTACGGAAGAACTCCAAATCCATGTTCAATAACAATCGTTGGAAAGGCGCTAGGCATTGCGCAGTCCCACAGCGTGTCTTGCAGCCATATGTTTGTTGCAACTGAGCATGTTATAAAACTAATTGATGTAACGAAATCCTTCAAACTCACCACTGTTGTTCACGGCTTGAACGTCCCTCCCTGCAGTTGTGCAAGCTTTGATTGCAATGATCTCATCTTCGATTTTGTCAGGCAGTCATCGTCAGTGGTTTCCCCCCCGTAGTTCGCTCTTTTAGGTGTAATAATGCCCAACTCCGTGCCTGGTTGGCTGGGAAGTACAGAATTGTCATCTTCTTCCACTTTGGCCTGTGCAACACATTGCACGTGCTGTGGAGTGTTGCGAAGACCTCATAAAAAAGAAATCTATCTTCACCCTTGCCATGTGAATGTGGACTAGGGGGTGAGTTGAATCATGTAAATCGCTGGGAATGGCAGGGTCGGGCATTGTGTTTGTGCCTGATTTGAGGTACCGATGCAATACATTTCCCATGTTGTTGTTGTTGTATCATAAGACACAAGGATGTATGCAGAAGTGTGCAAACTTTTGCAACTGTTGTCCAGCGCACCATGAGGAGGGGTCAAACGATGCAGTGCATTGTGATGCTGACAATGTGTGTGGAGTTTGATGGCCAGTGTGTGTGGCACTTTCATGACAATGCACGCACCTCCTCTGCCGCGACCCTCAGGCAATCGTGGCATTTGTTGTAGTTTGCGATCTGGAAGTCCTGCAATTGAACTCAGCACATGAGTTGAGATTGTCATGGATAGCCACAAGACGATTGATGCACCCGTGCTCGCAACTGCATGCCTTGTGTGAAGGGCAGTTAATCGCTGTGCAGTCAGCATCATGCCATGCACAATGCAGATGCAATTCGCCACTCACCTCAATGATGAGCTCCACCGCCCTCAGCACGTTGTTGAAGCAGTTGATGAGGACGGTTTTGGTGCCACCTGGCGGGCAGACGTCGAGCTCCCAGAGGAGTGCTGTTGACGCGATCATGGATTGCTTGTGGTTCTTGAACACAGCGCGGGGGCCAATGGCGATGGACGCCATTGCCAGCACGTATGGCACAACAGCGGGCCAATCGCTTCCAAACGCTTCAGACAAATTACTTATCAGGAGACCGACATTCCGCCCATAATAGAACTCGCACACGCCACCCTCAAAAGATCAAAAGCTCATGGGATTCCGCAGTGCTGGGCCAATGAGCGGATGGGTGGGAGCCCCAGTTCTCTCTCCCGCAGGTGCTGTCCTCTTTGGCATTGTTGGAAGGCGAGTGTGTGCTACGCAGGGGATGCGCAGAGCTGCAATGCAGGATGGACGTCGTGCGCATGCATGGGACAGCGCAGAAACAGACACCCATATATAACCACGTGTGGCACGCATGGCGGAACGTGGCTGCAAGGTGTGCTTGACATCTTCAACAGCTATTTTTGGATTCTGGTTGACGATGTCAGTTCATGCCGAGACAGTGACGTTCGGCCCCAAAGCAACGTCGGTGCCAGCAAACCTGCCGAGGTTCGCTGCAATTTTGTCTCAATTTTTGGATTTGCAGTTCTTGTGGCTGAAAACTAGGAAGATACAACATGTGGAACATTGGACATGGATGCTGAAGTTGTCATTCGCATGTGGCTTGCTGGTGTGTGGAGAGGTGCAAAATCGCATGAGTTCCACACGGGGCGCTCAAGCGTGGTGGTTGACAGCACAGCCATTGACGAGGGATGGGACCTCATGTGGATTGTTGTATTGCCATTGTGTATCGGTGCCGGGAAGAGGACACAAAGAATATTTGGAGGAAAACTGTGGAAGTTGTCATGCACATGCGGCTAGCTGGGCAACAGCAAAGTACAAAACTCCAGCGCGTGGTGTGGCTTTGTTGCATTGACGTCTGCAATCCTGCCACGTGAACAAGCAGAGGCAAGGCAGATCGCACGGACGGCTGCTGCTAGGATACAATGCAGGTGGAGGACTCGATGCAATCGCGGCGTCATGGAGCATCAATTTAGCGGTGTTGTCACATGGATTGACGCTGTGTAACCACGCAGGCATTCCTTGCGGAAGCAAACAATGTGGCAATGACCACCAACGATGTGGTGGTCTTCATATCCGCGTACCTCAAGGTCACGAGGGAATTCCGTGGATGGAGGCACACTCGCCTCGGCGCCGGTGTGCGGACATGCAAATAAATGGACATGTACATTGTCATGCGCGATGTGGCATCCGAACTGTCCGAAGCAGGATCGCGACTGAGGATCATGCCGGGAGAGGAATTCAAGCGACTTGTGGATTGTTACGAGGCCGACAAAGCAGGGTGGAGCCACATCTGCAGCATGCGGCAGCGGGCGGCGGATTGGATGGCGGAAAATAAGATGGCCTTTGGTATATCGCCGCCATTGTATCCATATCCCAAATGTGGCCAGGCACGCCCACACCGATAATTTTTTTTGACAAATGAACATCAGTGTTGTCGATGTGACTTCTTTGCTTCTGTCCCATCAGCATCGCCAAACTAACAGCACGTCATGGCAAGTGAGTGCTGTTGGAGCCTGCATGGGAGTTGCAGATTCAATTGCGCAGTACGTTTTCTGGTGACATTGTGTTATGTGGTAATTGCCAGCAGTTGCGCCTTGCTCCGATACCACAAATTTTGGGTGTCATCAGGAGACGGCAATGAGATGCCCTGTACGGCATTTTTGCCATGCAATATGTGATGCAGGAAATGTTTGCCTTTGGCGACAATGGGAAGTAGCAAGCACTCTGTGCTCTGCGAAATCCTGACACCAATGCCCTTGAAAATCACTGAAAGCCCATTGGAAATGGGTGCCAATCAGAAAGGATTCTGCATTGTCTTGTCATCCACACCACGTAAGTAACTCAGGTCTCACAACAGTAGTCCCCAAAACTGCCTGAGAACCTAGGGAACACATAAATGATTTTGAAATCCCACACTGCCTAATGTACTGGCATTGTCCCTAATGTATTGGAGGAACTGCGGCCAACATTGCAAGCAATTGTCACAATAGGTTTTACAATGTGGTGCTGGCCTTGCTGTGCCATGCCATAAGAAAGGAATAAGGGATTGTGCAATAAATTCGATGACTGCTGTATGCTTGGCGTGTGCAACATGTCCATGACGATGTTGACACTCGCAATCTATTGCAGGAGCTGCACAATTTACACCGAGCCCCTGGCCGGACGCCGTGGATATACGTGCCGGGTATCACCAGTGCACAGGGAGTCGCTTTTGTGCGGGAATGTTGCAAATGCCACTTGATTTTCAATATTAAAGGGTACAGATCATCCATGAACGGACACAAGCAGGTTTGGGTGTCTCCTCACCCTCCCAATTGCGCCAGGCAGTGGGTCCAGGTAATGCCCATTCTCATGTCACCGGCTTCCACCACCAACGGTGCACCGGCACCACGCAATAGATATCAGCATTTTTCCACAATGGCTATTATTTCTAGTGGAGTGCGAATGCGCGACGTTGCCAACGCGGAAGCGAAAGCAATTTTTGTTTTTTTTCTACAATTTCTGCCTGGCCAGGGCATCTCAAACACGTTCTTCATTGCCTCTCGCGCCTTTGTGAACATGGCTATTGCGTCGAAAGAAAAATGTTGCATTGGATGGCAGGAAACCTTATGAAAGTCGCTGTGCACACTACAGGTGTCAGGAGACACGTACGTGCATACCAGCATTCTGCCCATTCATCGTGCACTTTTCACCCATCTGCAGTCTGGCTTTGAGCCAGCTGCAAAGGCGCTGCACGATATGCAGCAGGCACTTGCCTCAGACACTGAAGGTATGGCAAACACTATTTTTTCCATGGCATTGCACAAACGGCTGCATGCATTAATTTCAACAACATTCACAACGTAATTATGTGTTGTCCACCGTACTGTAGGTCCCGTTACCCAACTCGTGTGTGGAAACTCGTTTGCTTGTTAGGATGGAGATGGAAGAGAGTCACTGAGGATTTTTCCACCGGAAGGCCGCGACCCTGCTTGACAAGAAAAATGTACGAGAAGGCGTTCCTTTTCGAGAGCCTTATGTCAGAGCTGCAGCACCACTTTCTGCACGCCATTCACAACGTCAATCTGAAAGAGCCACTCGGCGTGCTGTTGGAGAGGGTGCTTGAAGTGAAAAGATGCCGATTACTATTCGAAGCCCATTTTCACTGTAAATCTTCCACTGCTCACATTGCTTGCGGGCGTGCCTTCATGATAGACGGAGCCACATCTCTTTGCCGCAGTAGATGCAGCTGCACAAACGAATGCAGAGCGAGCAAGGAAGATCTATTGTGTGCTCCGAGCGGGGCCAAGCTTGACAGCCTTAGCAAGTACTGCGTTGGCTTCACATACCAGAAGGACAAAAAAAAGAGGTGCAAGGTGAGAGTAGTTGCTGCGAAAATCAGTGACCTTTTCCTGGCGATTCATGGCCGTGTGCATGTACACAGCAGCTTACAGTCGTTTTCGTTGTCCATAACTGCATTCCCCGTGTACCCCCAGCAATGTATGGAGGCCAAAAGACCAACAACAGCCGAAGAAAGGCACTGTGGACCCCCAGCGGATTCGCGCGAAGATGTTATTCATGCACCTGAGCTTGCCACCATTGAAGAAGAGCCCACATGGGAAGGTGAAACAGCAGAACACGAAGATGACCTGCACACTACCCTGTGGGAACGTGGTGCATGGCTGCGAAGCGAGGACGGTCATCCTGCAAAAGTCGCCAATATGTGCCCCATTCCCAACATCGTTCCACCGTGCAATAAAAGTGTTCAAGAGCGCAGGGCTCGACGGAACGTGCGTCATTCGACGAGGATATCGTTGAGGGCGAGCAGGGAGGCAGCCGGTAGCGAGACGCATCTGGCCCATGAGAGGAGCACCACAAGGACGGAGAAGGAGTCTTCCAGAATTGCTGGGGCCGCTGAGGAACAACAAGGAGTGCAGTTGGGTGGTGGCTTCTGGCAGGTGGAGAAAATTCTCAACTACTGGATCAATGAGAAATCACGATTGGTGAGCGTCAATTGATGTGGCGGAAGGTCCTGTGCAAGTGAATGCAGCTGAATGTACAAAAACTGCAAGGTGCCACAATGGTGGAACTGACATTCATGTGATGGTCGTCAGGCAGACAAAAGGGAGTACCTCGTGAAATGGACCGGCAGCGAGGAGGTGACTGTTGAGCCCCATAAGAAACTGAATGAAGCCGCGCTGATGGCCTACCACAGAGAACGAAATGAAGTGCAAGCCAAATCGTTCTATGAGGTTTGCTCGTGGACCTCAGGCCTCGCATTGAATGTCATCTCTCTGGAGAATGGAGCCCGTTACAGAAATAAGTAGATGTGCTGATGACGAATTGCGCAGAGGGCAGCTTGCAAGCAGGGTATTGAGAACTGTGCTGCAACATGCTGGGTTGAGCTGAGCAGAAAAATGTGGTGAAGTTGTTGTGTGCACAAGTTGGGCAACGGCAATGTTGACTAGAGTGGACAGGCCATGCTGCAAGTTGAGTGTGATTGTGTTTTTTAATGAATTGGTTACTGAACTGAAGGTGAGTCGCTTGAACAGCGCTGTGTGGAAGCCAGGTGATTGAGGAAGCTCATGCAGGCTTTGCAGGAAATGCATTAATTTTTGAAACGGGGTAACTCCCAGTGCAGAAGTATTTGTGGCAGTTGCATGCTGTTGAAACGAACAGTTGGTGCCAACTGCAGTTTCATATATAGCGTATTGTGCTCGTAGATGAACGAAGAATTCTTGGGAAAAGAGCCATACAGATTGGAGAAATGTGGAAATAAAATTGTTGTGAAGATCGACAAGGAAGCGTTTGGTCCTGACGCTCCCAACCATGGTATCTCTGCTGATTTAACAGAGGAGGTGAAGGAGATGCTCATCCAACAAGATAACAATGATGAATTCTCCAAGTGCAACAAGGGTTTTACCAAGTGGAGCGACAGGACGGGTGGCGCATTATATATGTTCTGTGTGTGTGGATTCCCATTCCCA